TTTTTTTAAAGCCCATTTTTAATCTGTTTTTGAACTTTTTAAGTTTATGATTTTTTGTTTTTAATATCTTTTATTCCTTACATTGTCAATAGATTCTTTTAAAGTGATTTCAGCTGCTCTGGTGATCAGAATTTGGTGTAGCTCTTAATTAAATGTGGTTAATCACATTTAATTTATGCTTATCAAAAGGAAAGTTAACTTTTAACATAAGCCTATCTTCAAAATAATTAAATAAAATTAGCTTTATTAGAAAGGAAGAAGGGAATTTGACTTTGGCTTCACATGCATGATTCCTAAATACATTAAGAACAAAAATATCAACTTTACGGGAAGAAGAAAGTATATTTTTATGTTCACCCAAATAATAGCTCAGATCAGAAAGTTTTTTTTCTTGATAGATTATAATAAAACAAAAATTTTATTTGTTTTTAGTAGAATTTTTAAGGAGTTCAAATAGTAAAGTATAAAAACAAAGCAAGAAAATAAAGAAATTCTCGATAGTATTTGGATCTAAGAAGGACAAGGCAGTTTTAAATTCCAATCTAAACCGCTTGTGCTTCATTATTTTCAGCTCTTTATTGTTAAAAGTATTATCAGACCTATAATCAAATTAATGCAGGTTAACTTAAATTACTTAAAGCTGCAAAATATTCTAAACATCCAAAGATTTTAACGATTTCCAAATGTTTTTTTTTATTTTTATTAAAAACTGGTTAGAGGATAAGGATGATAAATGTCTCCTCTACTTGCTGAAGCCTTTTTAATACTTCTTTGCGATGGAATATTTATCTGATAGCATATCAGCTGTAGTCATAACATACTCTTTTACCATTAGAATATCATCATATTATTATTTATTTGATATTATTTATCATAATACCTTCTATTAACAATGCCTTCTTGATGTGATATTGGTGTTGATTTTTTTTCTTAGTGCCATACTAGTTCTCCTTCCCATTTTCTGTCATCTACAGGGAAATATAGGATGAAGCAAAAAGTGTATAAAGCAAATAAAGACCATCTAACTGTCATCTCTCTAAACCCCAAACATCTTTATTTATTCATCTGTTTGCCAATTTTCAGCCAATGACTCTTTGGAAATTGACTTTTTCTGTCTGTCTATTATCTTTGATTATTTTGGGGTTTTTTTTTTTTAGAAATATGAAAATGTTGGAATTCTTTCATTTGGTTTGTTGACAAAAATGAACATTGTTTTAAGATTTAGTTTAGACACAAACATGGCTTTATAGCCACATATGCTTTATTAAAACAAGAAACACATGCAGCATCTACAGAAACACTCAGACAATCTTGGGAACTGTTCAAGATCATTTAAAAGTCCTGTACTTCTAATTTACACCAGAGTCTGAGTGCGGTTTGTCACAATAAACCCCGTTCTGTTCAGCAGACGGCTTTCTGTGTTCTCTCCTATAACTTTCGTTGTGTTGCAGTAGATCTGACCTACTGCTTATTGCAGTGCTTCTCTCTTTCTGCTCTCAGCAAACAGTCGCAGTTTGTGAGACTTAAATGATGTCAAATAAATGTGAACAGCAGGTGTGTCTGCAGCTTCTGAGCAGCATTCGTGACGAGACTGTGCCAAGCTCCAAAATGTTCTCCATTAGGAACCCTAATCAATATAATTATGAAGCAAGTGGATTATTTAATGTAATTTTGGAGTAAGTCACCCAATTATAATTGCATTCAGGTCCATGATGAATTATGTCTCGTTGCTGCAGGTAATTAGTCTGAAAATGTTTCCAGTTATGGCTTCAGAGCCAGAAATCAAAAAGTTGGTGAGTAATGTACAGAGCTGCTCACATGAGAAAGAGCTGTTTGTCCTGCTGTTTCAGACGGAGCAGAAAAAAATGGGCCTGAGCTCCGTTTAGAGCGAGAGCAGTTAAAAATAAAAATAAAAAAAACACAGCTCACCCGGAACTGAACCAGGTTTGCAGCTTGGGCCGGATAATCTTAAACCAAAGTGCGTCAGAGTCAGAATCGGCCTGTACTTGTTCCCGCGGTGTGTGTTCAGTGTTCTTGCCTTTGTGTGTAATCAGAAGAGTGTGATTAAGCGCCGTGGAGCCTCTGCGAGATGTGGGTCCCTGCTCTCTCAAAGGCTGAGCTATGCCAGCGCTGCTGTGTGCGTTCCTCTGTAATAAGATCACCTAGAAAAGACGTTTTCAAGAGGTCCAAAGCCAGATAACAACGCTGCTCTCTTTTCACACTTTATGCTCTTTACAAAAGGCCTAAAGTTAGAGGAAAGCACCCGGGTCCAAACTATTGAAAGTGCCGCTGTGAGCTGCACTAAAATTTGAGCTTTACACTCCAGGTTTGACGTGTTTTAAAAAGACACCAACTTCATGCACAAGGCTCAGAGGGAAATTAGGTCCACCGAGCTTGTTTGACTCCCGAACTGATCTTATCGTGCATTATAGCGGTGGAACCGATCCATTCAAAGTCTAACTTTAAGTAGGAAATTCTTACATTTTCTGTTTCATTGTGCTGGCTTAAAGATGACTCAAAGTTTATTTACATATTTAGGCTGACTCTGAGAATTGCTCCTTGCCCCTGACTGTTAGCACTTAACCCTACAGGCAGAGTATCCCATTTGTTTTTGTGCAGCTGTGGTCCAGCCAAGAGAAACAGCCTCTAAGGCCCCAAAATCAGTGACCGTTCAGGGCCCTGCTCGCAAGAAAAAGAGAAGTTAGCATTGCTTTCAGATCCCCTGATATACAAATGTTCTCAGTTAACAGTCTCTTCACAACATAGTAACCATTATAAGGTCTAGTTTGAATAATAAAATCTCATTTATCATTATAATGCAAAGACAAAATATTACATATTTTGAAATATACTGCCACACCAACATTTATTGGGTTATTTTGTTTAATGCAGGCCAGTAAAATGTATCTGTTTAAAAATAAATTGTTACGGAACAGATATGGAAAATACACTGTAATGTATATTTTTGAATGACTCTGATGTAATGACTTAGTGAAACATTATGTACACAAAGGTTTAACAGAATATACAAGCAAGTAGAGTAGTCATCAGAACATGAAGGAGCATCCCATCCCTCAGGGAAAATTGTAAGCTCTCATTGAATGAGTTGTGAGTTACGGGGAGTGGCCAATATTGCTCGTAGGATTAACTCTAGGAAATAGAATTTAGCTTTAGAAGGAACCTTCGTTTTATTGAAGCTTAACAACACATGAGGTATAAAAACCCTCCAGAGGATTTTGAAGGAAGCTGTGAGTCATTAATGTCCCCCTACCTTCTGTTCAGGAAGGTTTCAGAGCTGCTGCAGCAGCAGAGCTCAGAGGCTCCCCATATCTTCTCTATAAAGCTGCTACTGTATTTATCTCAGCATTAAAACAGATCCACCTGTCTGCTACACAGCTTCCTGCTTTAACGCTCAGCTGCTGTTAAGATTTTTCACTTCGTTATCGCTTTTAATGATTTTCTGACCAGGCAAGTGTTAAAATACAATTACTAGAAACTACTTTTACTATGAAAACCATCATTTGCCCAAGCTTATTGGATGGAGCGCAATAAATTAAGCAGAATTAAGACAAAAATTCAACGAAAACAGGACTTTTAACAAATATTTTAATGTGCATTAGCAGACAGCACTTAAAAACATCTGAACTTGTTTACTTTGAAAACATATGTCTCCTGGTTGGAGTTTGATGCTGCAAAGAACTGAATGAATTGAGGCATTTCCAAACCATCAGTCCTCTAAACAAAAATAGAACCGTGATTTAAATATTTACCTTAAAAAGAAAAGGTTTTAGCTCTTATATCAGTCCTTCCTACATTCAAATCTCATCTCCAAATCCTTTAAGGATTATTTATGTCTTTATTCATCCACACATTACCCACATGTTCCGCCTTTAAGTGGCCTCAGATTCATGTTTTTCCTTCTTTAGATTGCAGCTCATGAGAAAAGCTGAAAAGATTCAACAGGCTGGATCTTGTTTTATAAATCCTAACCCTTCCTCTAAACTTTTATTTTCATTTGTGTTATTTAGATTTTTTTCATTTAAGTTTATCTTTATTTATTACAAGTACTAAGATAAAAAATAACATAAAATAATACATATTGAAATGCAGGGGAAATATGTAAATTGAGGTAATGGACTAAATGAGCTCAGTTTTTATTTATTTATAAAAAGGTGATTAATTAACAAACAACTCTTAGGGTTGATGTGTTTTTACTTGATTAAATTAATACTATGTCTTTAAAATGGAACCTAGAAATGTTTTAATAAAAAAAGTTAAACATTTCTAACGTTACTCAAGAATTAAACATAAAGGAAGACATTTTTAAGCAGAAAACTGTTCTTGTTCAGCTGCTTTTAGGCATCTGTGTTTCTGACTCTGACAGAAGTCAGAAATGATCGATGATAAAAGGCTCCCCAGAAAGATGGAGTTAGAAGGAGGAGTCGGAGAAACGCGGTGAGCTCTGAAAACATCGACGTAGAGGAGAAAGTCTCTGTTTTTTTCTCTTTTTTTTTTCCTCTTCTGACTCTTTGGTGGTCTGAAGGAAGGTCTAACTGCATGTTGAACTCAGAGCAAAACACAACAGGGGGGGAAATGAGTTAGGGGTTCAGGAGGGGGTGGGTGGGGGTTCCTGGGCTGGGGGTTACACCACCAGAGTCCAACAATTCATCATGCTTTGGCACCGGCGAGGGCCGTCTGGACAGATCCGAGGTGGGAAGATGGGAGGGGGGGGGGATTGATGGCCAGCGGGACTCTGTGACCTGCTTTTTCCCCCCATGAGAGGAGCTGGCGTGCGTTTCTGTGTATTAAAATGAGCATGAATCTAAAGGAACAGACCTAAAGAAAGGTGGACGCAAATCATCACACACTAACTTCTCTTCCCGGTCGAAGGTTTAAATATCGACTTTCAGCTTGCTCCCAGCCATCAGATCACACATGACACATGATTTGTTTTTCTTGTTCCCCTTCCTCTCTCCTCACTACTATCCTTCCTTTCTTAGGACTTCCTGCAAGGCGACAGCACCAAGGCGTATGAGAAGCTGGCCTGGAAGCCCAAGGTTACTTTTGAGGTGCGTCTCCATCATCTGTTTGACACTCTGATAGAAAAACTGATTATTTAAAACAAATGTATTATGGTTCCATAAAAAAAGAGAAAATCAAAAACAGATTATTGCAGGTTGTTCATTTTTTTAGTAGCTATAACTTAGTGGCATAATAAGATAATTTACCAAATGTGAATCTGTTTGGAGCACATTCATTACCTTCAAATAAGAAACCTAAAAATAATCCATAATTGGTAGCCTTATACCTCCAAGAACTTTATTGATTGTGCCCAAAAAATCTCAGATGTTTTTTTATGCATCTGCCATAAAAAACTTCCAGAAGAAACTAGGAAAATACGGTGCAACATTTTTTTATATAAATAATTATCTTAAAGTTAAACTGTTTTAATAAGCAGAAGGTGCATTCTTCAATTAATTATTTCATTTCCATTTTATAATAACTTGTAAGTTGCATATCTTTATCTAACAATGGCTTAGAAGTTTTATTTTGAGCTTAACATAGATATAATATTCATTTTTGTCTAGATGAAATGCAAAATAGTGATAAATCTTTCTAGGGGATAAAAGCTTATGTTTAACAAAAGGTTAACCCATTAAAAATATCCTTTATCTGTTCAAATAAATGCTAAAGATTTACCTGATTTGTTTTTAGATTTTACTGCTTTTTTTGTCCAATTAACTCATTAAAATTCTCTAAAGTTCTCTATAGTCGGTTAGCATTTCTCAGCTCTTTGTCTTTTGAAACGTACCTGCTGCTACATGTTGTTGACCTAAACCGTCCTCACAGCGTTGGGATCCTCATTCATTTCAGGCCCAGAAATAAACTCTGCTTAATTCAAATAAATACAGATGTTTATCACGGAGTTGTTTCCGTTTAAGCCTTTAACTGTTTCCTGTGAAAATGTGATCTCTCTGCAGGAGCTGGTGAAGGAGATGCTGGACTCTGACATCGAGCTCATGAAGCAAAATCCAAATGCCTAAAAAGCAGCTCAGCTCTTTCAGATGTGATGCAGATATTTTCACACTCCAAGGTTCTGCCATTGACTCAGACAGAAGCAGAGCCTTTTTTCTATCTCTTCTTCTCCATTTGAAGTAATTGTGGTTTCCTTTTTTTCTCTAACCAAGAGCCAAATGTTGCCTTTTCTGTCTTTTTTTATTTTGGTTGGGTTGATTTATAAGGTTGTTTTATTATTTACAAAAACACTCCTCATGTTTGGTTCGATGAAGTCTTTATAATGGTTTATTTATGTTTCTTATTTCTTTGTGGTATAATTATTTTAAAGGTTTAAATTGCTCATTTTTTAAATGACCAAACGGTATAGAAACGAATCAACTTAATATAATGTATTGCTATATTTTTGCTTTCTTGAGGTCAGTTTTTTTTGGGACATATTGGTGATGATAAAGGGCTATGAGGTGGATAATAAAAATAAATATGGCAAACAATGTGCATTTTTCTTTTTTCCCCAGTGAATGGTAATATTAGAAATAATACTGTGATTCCGTAGTTAATGTAGTCCTTATAGGGTTTCCCAGACGCCTCCTTTATTTCAGGTTTTTTCTGAGATCTTTTTTTTTTTCAACAGGAGGAGCTTCTGCCGCTGTCAGCTGGTTTTCTGTCCTCAATAATCAACACCTTTTCCTGCTGTTAGATAGTTTTCTCTGTTTTTATGCAGCCATCTTATTAAAAATATAAATACACAATTAAATAACCACTGATAGATGTTATACCAAAGTTCACCATGCATATATCCACAAACCTTATTCTTATAAGCTTCTTTTTTATTTCTGCTAAACGTTATATTTTAAGCTTTTTTTAACCTGAATGAGTTATGTGGACTAACTGAGGTCTCTAACATCCTTTATCCAAACCCAAACTTATGTGTTTCTTTTTCTTTGTTTTGGTTTAATTTTTTCTTACTTTGTTTAAATATTTGCGAATTTTTAAATATGTATTATATAAAATGTGGTAAAACCACATTAACATGAATTTGAAATGTAACTTTAATTTCCAAATGTGCAGCTTCTCTTTTATTTCTATATTTATTTATATTTTTTTATGGGGTTTTTTAGCCATCTAACATTTTTCCTCCAACATTGCAATTAATGAATATAAGTTGTTTAAGAATTAGAATGGTTTCCAAGCTAAAATGGATGAAAAAGCAGAAAACCTGCGCTTTTCAGTACTGATCGCTGTTGCTCTCCTCCAAGCTGCTCCTTTTCAGACTTGGAGCTTTTAGCTGAGCCATGAAGGCGTCAGCTGAGCGCCACTTGGCAGAAAGTGGACCACCCCACATCCCCGCAATGTCTTTTTGCTGGACACCTTCAGCGCGTCTTAAGCTCTCTGATTGTCTTGGAGGTATAGCGCCATCTGCGCAGAGCCCGAATAGGAAACAGATGTGCTCCTGGTATTGTTTAGGGCCCTGTAACCTTAAAACACACACAGCCAGTGGCCTCACACAGGTATCCCTCAACAACAATTAAAGCTAAATCCTCTGATCAGGTCTACTGTTGGCGCACGGCAGCTGTTGGAGCTTTTGGAGCTGGAGGAGGAACAAATCAATGGTTCAGGTGCATTGGAAAAAATTTAAATCTAGATAAGTCATTATTTCTTAAAATAAGTGCATTTGTTCTTTGATTAAGGAGGTAAAAGAGACATTTTGCCAATAAAACAAGACAATTTACACTGAAATTGCATTGTCTTATTTCAAGTTTATATTATCTAATTATCTTATTTTAAGAGTAAAGAAACTCATTCCATTGGCAAACTATCAAATTATGGGTAAATACACTTAATTTAAGACATTTTTACTATATCGTTTTTCTAGTGTGGTTGAATTAAACTTTAGGAAGATTAAAGGTAATTAAATAATTCAGAGTTTTCAAAGAAATTTGTATTTTAAAGAAAAATTAAAATTGTATTTAAAATATCCCCGCTGCGCTTTTATGGGCTCTAAATACGGAACACGTTAATTATCCGTTAAAGACCATCTTATTTAAAATACAAACTTTCACTGATAATACTTAACAGTGTTTTGCATCGGTTGTTTAAACAAGAGTTTGGACATATTGATTATTAAGCAGGTGTTGTGATTAAAATGTTCAAATAAATTCAACAAACTTAAGTGATTTATCCCGAAATCAGGCTGCAATAATAAAAAGAAAAAAAAATCCATGAAGGCTTTTTATATCTCCTCTAAATAAAAGGGTGACGCTTCTCTAAAAATGAGACATGAGGCAAACACCTGAGTTTAAACCCTACACATTTAACATTTAATAGATCATTTTCCTTCTCTAAGGCTTTTATAATCGGAGCGATAAGAAAAGCAGATCGAGATTTGGCTTCATAGGAATCAGCAGTTTGCAAAGAACCAAGAGAATCAAATGAGAGCCTGAGAATCCTGCAAAATTAAGCGCAGAAGAAAGCGATCTGCTTTATTGTTTGGACTTATTTTTTTAAAAGAAGAAAAACTGGAATCAAATGGTCAATCAAACAATGCAAGGTTGATTTATCCTGCTATATTTTGTGCTACTTTGAGTATAAAAGTATAAATATAATTATGTCAAATGAAACAAAAAAATCATTTTTATATAGGCTATAATATACTTTCTGATAAACACCACATAAAATTTATAAAAACGTATATATTTGTTTTTTTTCTGCAGAGATCTTGGGTGTGATTGTGGTTTTGCGCGCTGCTCCTTAAACAAGGATGAAATTCATCGACAGGCAACTAGAAACACTCAAATGTCTGCTGCCTTAAAGTGTTTGGTTAAAAGAAAAAAGAACCAGCTCGTCTGGGTGTGACTTGTTAATGCCTTAATTAATCCTCCTGGATGTAAAGCTTGTGCGTCTGGAAAGGTTTGGCAGCGGAAAGCCTCCCTGCTCCTCTGGGAGACTTTTTTTTTTTTTTTCCTGCGCTGCAGAGCTGCATCAACAACACGACTTCAGAGAAGGTCCTTTAAGATAAGGCAGTGGCAGGGTTCTCACTGTCCTTTCCTAAAGTGCATTGTTGACATCCTCTCCACTGACCTCCAACACCCCCTTCTGTCTTGCCCTATAAGGATGAAAAACGATTCGCCCGGAGTGCCTGGATTTCCCTTCCTGCCTCAGGAGAGCCGCATCAATCACACCGACGTTTGTTTGGGAGGAGAAAACGTCGCTTCTCTATCATGGAGCACCTTTCTGTACACAATACAGGTTGCATTCGAGTCAGTTACCAACCCACTTATCTGTGGAAAAGAGCCACGGTGAAAAGAAATAAGGCGAGAGCTTTAACGCACATGTCGGATGATCCTGGCTCATCCGACTGTGGCCTTAGGGGAGCGATTGCGCGCTGGAAATGACTCTCATTTATTGTTTTTACAGCAGATTCAAAACCGCACAGACCTAAAACCGACCGACAGCTTTCACTGCTGCTTATTCAGTCAAGCAAAGGTAATTACCCTTTTATAAACAACACACACCGATGTTACATCCCAGACACCTATCCTGCAGAGAACAAATGGAATAAAGTTTAAACAAAACAATTTTACCTTTTACATTATTAGAATTGGTATCATCAAAAATAGTTTAATATATTTCTGTTGCTTATGACCTCTATGATTATTTAAAAAAACACCCCTAACAACTATTATTTAAGCTTTATGTATCTGATGATAACGGTTAATCCTATCAATATGAATGGCCTAACCGCATTAGTCTACATAATAAGATAAGAGTAACTTTCTCTGCTTTTAAAATTTGCATTTCTAATAATTTACCTATTTATTATTTCTTGGCTATATTTACAAAAAAAGATGCAGATTTTTTTTTATGTTCATACTTTTAGTACGTAAATAACTAAGTAATTCATGAATCGTTATTTCGATTTCTGTTTCACGCATATTTAAAGTTATTTAAAAATGTTTAGTTGTAATAAAGTTGAGCCTAAATACATTTAAACACAATTAGACATTGATTCAGTTGGTAAACTAAAAGTAAAAAAAAAAATAGTTAAAATAGAAAATGTTGTGGTTTTATATCTTTTTTAAAGGGACAGGTTTTCCAAGGTGGCCAGGGTGGGGTTGGGTTGCTGGGGTCGGAGGATACTGATTAAGGAAGCAGTAAAAAAAAAAAAAAGAAAAGAAAATAAACATCTGACAGCTGCCATATTCCAATGAGCCACCGCTGCCTGATGCACGACTCTGAATGCAAAGCAGACCTCTGGACTGTAGCTCATCCCTGCGGGCAGATATTACATCCATCAGAGCGCACTCTTCATGCGTCAGCAGGGACCTTTAGGGTCTGGACCTGCAGAAAAAAATAAAAAAAATCTCCAACCAAAGACGTCCAAAACAAATGCAGCTGCAGCTGTATATTATTTTTCTTTCATCTGTACAGAAACGCTCCAATCGTGGTGAAACAGAAGCCAGACGGAAGCTTGATGCGCGCTTTGTGACCAGACTGATTTGTTTTGCTGACAAGGCCTCTGGTGAACTCAGATCTCACTGATGCCACACGTGAGTTTGTTTACCTCCGGTGTTTACGTTTAACACAGAAAATACAAGGCCTGAAGAAGGGAAAGGGGCTGCACATATCACCTTTCCTACTAAAGGTGGTTTTAGGTGAAGGAAATGTGCAGCCTTGAGGCTACAAAGCTTTATTTTTAGTGCAAAATATCTACAGGTCTTTAAAAAAAAAACTGTTCCACAATCTTTGTAAAATAACAATAAAATAAAACAAATTCCTTTTCATATAAGCTCGGCGCCTCTACACACACACACACACACACTTATTCAGATTTTATCAAAGCTGTAAATAGACCTTAGATCAGTGGCCATGATTAATTAGCTTTTTCTAAACAGTTTATAGTATTTTCTCTCTTTTTTTTTTTTTTTTACATTTGATTGTATTTTACGACCTTTTTTTAACAGCATAGTGCTAATAAATCACTCAAATTAAACTCAAATATTCGGCACTTTATTAAACAAAACAACTTGTAATGCCTTCAGTTTTTTTTTTTCTTTAAAACAAATTACAGAATGAATAAAATAGGCCAGTACAGGCTACAGAGTCTCCCCCCGTGCATTTCTATACAACATGAACAATTTTAAAGGCAGCAAGAAAACTGGGGAAGAGTTTGGTCCTCACATTCCACCCACCTGCTTTTCTTTCAAAATAAATTACTATATTAGGCTATAATTTACAGTTTATGCATAAAGGTGGTAGGAGCAATTCTCAAAGTGAGAGGGAAGGAAACTTACGTGTTGTGGTGTTACACTGCTCAAAAAAAAAAAAAAAAAATCTCTCCTGTCCACTTGGAGAGTAAAAGTACAGCAAGGAAAAAAAATAGAGAGCAAATATATACTGGAATTATTAATTTAAATTGGATGTTTCTGGCTTTCAAAACTTGCTGCAGTCATAAACGAACGCTCCAGACGTGCGGTACAGGGACTGTCCGG